GCCACGATCTCAGCTCCTCGGTGATTGGTCCATTTGGAGAGGCCTACGAAAAACTCCCGGCCTGAGTCCGGGAGGCCGCGGAGGTTTGAGGGCGGGAATGAGTTGGAAACAAGGCTCCAGACGGCCGAGTCTCCCAAACTCTACTTCCCTGTGCCAAGACCCAGCTGGTGCCGCCCACCAGACTCACCGGTGAAGAGAACGTCAGTGCCATCCAGCGTCGCGTTCTCGTCTCCTATTTCCACAATTCGGAGCCCCAGGTCTTGCAGGGCTTTGCGGACTCCATCGACCTTAGGATAGGAGAAGAGGGCACGGAGCTGTGACACCCCCGTCCCCAATTCTTCCCCAAAGCCCCGACATCCAGCTCCTCCTGCCCTTCCCTATACCACACACTCGCCGTGGCGCTCACCTCTGGCCTACGAGCGGGGCTCCAGGGTCGCGTGATTAGGGCCGTGTCCCCTTGGATCACGGCCGTGTCGCCAAGCAGCGGTCCCAGCGGCAACGACTCCTCAGGTGGCAGTTCTAGCAGCTGTAGCCCCAGTCGCTGCCTCAGTTTACCTCCCAGCACCCCGTGCTCCCTTTGGGCTTTGGCCAGATCCAGAGCCGGAAGGCCAGCCCCCGCATCTTCCCCCGACGCCAGGCTCTCTGGGACTCCCCGGATCAGGGCATGGGAGCAGCGGCCCAGCCCCTCCCCCGGCGTCCCCATCCCATCCACACAGAAGCCCCCTCCAACCGCTCGAATTTCTTAGTTTTCTTGTTTCTTCACCTGTCTGGGAGAAGAAACAGAAAAGGAGGAGACAGAGAAAGACACATGCAGACAAGGGCGTTGGGGGTGGTTAAGAGCGCCCAGGTCTTCCTCCTGCCATCTCTGGGCGTCCCTCCCACTCCGCCCCACCCCCTCCAGACCTTCTGCTCCTGTCGACCCCACTCTACCCAGCACCCTCAGGGGTCAGATTCTTTAAGAGGAGCCTGAGGAACAAGGCTAGGGTGTCTAATCTCCAAAACACCTGTTGCCCCTGCTCGGGGGCTTCGTGAGGTCCCTGTCGGGCGCCCCTCTTGGCAGCCACTAGGATGCGCTCACTCCCCAAAAATGCAGCAGCCCCGCCCCCTTAACCCTCAGCTGCTCGCTACGGTAGGGACTTGAAGTCCGGCCCGGGACCCGCAGGGGTTATGGGACAGAAGGAGAAAGCTGGAGAGTCAAGGGCTGGGGGATGGAAGTCTTGAATACCCGAAAGAGAAGGGAAAAAAGGTGGGTAGGAAGGGAGGAGTTCCAGCCTAAGGAGTTAAGCATCCTCTCTCCGCCCTGGCCGGTCACGCTGCCCCTAGCAAGACCTAGTATAAACCGGACTGAGTCCCAAAGGACTGGGAGAGGTCTAAAACGAAATGCGAGGGGCGGGGAAACAGGGGGCGTGGTTCCGGGGCGCTGGCGCTACTCCCGGCTCCAGGGCCGGGTTCCCCTTCTGTGTCCCAAAGTCCACCCCGCCTAGCTCCGCGCCCAAATGCCGGCTCCCCATACTTTGTCCGGTGCAGGCATGGGCCCGGCACCCCCAAACTCCGGCCCCCATACGGTTCAGGGCCTCCCACCCAAGACTCACCTCTAGTGGCCACCCCCACTCCTGTCGCGCTGTGATCTCGGCTGGGGCCCCACCCCCCGAGGACAGAGTTGGTGGAGAAGGGAGTCCCCGTCTTCAAGCCTCAGGGACTGGCTTTTAGGGGGTCCTTGGGTAGGCGAGCTCATATACTACGATGGGGCGGGGGCGCGACGGTCTGGCGGCTCCGGGGCATTGTCTAAGCGGGACGGGGCGGGGCTTCTTTGGGCCACGCCCATTCCGCCCTGCTAAGCCGCGCCCCCTACATCCAGACTGCGTTCCCCTTGCCAGAAATCGGCGCCGCCCAGCGTGCGCTGCCCAGGCCCACCCAGATCTGGCCGGCCCTAGTGTCGGGGCTGCAAATACTTCGTAGACCTCACAACAGCGCAACGGCGGACCGGCACGAAAAATAGCCCCCACCACAAACATTTCCCTTCTTAATTCCTGGCTTCTGCCGTGAGCTCAAGATCACTGACCCACCCCTCATTCCATATCACCCACACTTCAAACCCCCATTGCATAAAAACACTTGATTTTTATTCTGTATTTTATTACTGAAATATGTTGTTCTACCCATCCCACCCCATAATAAAAATCTCACTCAGGCCCCCCATTTCTTTCCCTCATCCCCTCTTCCATCACACCATCCCGGAATAAGTGATCCAGGATTCCCTGACCACTGGCCATTTTGGAGTGTGTCCATTGGGTAGCAATGTGGAAACCACCAGGGCCTTTGTGAAGAAAATGGAGGGGGTTGAGGGAGTCCCAGGAGGGGCTTATTTGAGGGCCTTGGCCACTTGCTCATAGGCAAGCTCGATCTCCTCATCATCTGGACAGGTGGAAGCGAATTCTTCCCGCGCGTAGGCATTGCTCAAGTACCGATGCACTCCGCGGAAGACCTCGGGGATGGTGAATCCCCGGTACTTCTTACACACCACCTGAGGATGGGGAGAGGAGAGGGACCAACATGTTAGCCCCAGGGAAGCCACCTTGGCTGCTACGCTGGCCTTTCCCTTCTCCCCAGGCTGACATGATAAAACCAGCTCAACTCCTTACTGTCTTGTACCATCGTTAGCCCTCCTTTTCACTTACTGAAATCCTGGCTTTTAATAACCAGCCATTTTTCCTGAGTTTTTAAAACCTGAGATATAATTTACATATCATAAAATTCTCCTCTTGAATTTCCACAGTGACTTTTTTCCCCCATACCACTTCAGGCACTGACACAGTGACTTTTGTCCTTATTTTTCATCAGACTTTTTTTTTTGAGACGAGGGAGTCTTGCTCTGTCACCCAGGCTGGAGTGCAATGGCATGATCCCGGCTCACTGCAACCTCCGCCTCTCAGGTTCAAGTGATTCTCCTGCCTCAGCCTCCCGAATAGCTGTGATTACAGGTGCCCACTGCGAATAATTTTTGTAATTTTAGTAGAGATGGGGTTTCACCATGTTGGCCAGGCCGGTCTCAAACTCCTAACCTCAGGTGATCCACCAGCCTTGGCCTCCCAAAGTGTTGGGATTATAGGTGTGAGCCACCGTGCCCAGCCCATCTGACTTCATCATATATTCTTAACTTTCATGTGAATATTTTATTGTCTCAGATTTCAACCCTTTGAGAGCAAGGCCCAGTCACCATACACTTGTGTATATTTCAATGCTTAGTACATGGATGTTCACTACATAGTTGTGTGGCAGACTGACGTCAGGACCATGTTGCACAAACTAAACCATAGCTTTGAGGCTATGACAAAAACATGAGAACCAGCAGTTTTGATCTTCCACAAGAGGAAGTGAAGATTGAAGCTATAAAGAAAGTTAAAGCTTTGACTTTAGGAAAAGCCTGCTCTATCTAATCTGGGAATTTGGCAGTGATACCGAGACAGGAAGAGCATTCTTCAAAAGTAATACTGGGATGTATTCCTCTTTGGTAGTCTGTTTGCACCCACGACTTATATCATGGAATATAATTATCTCAAGCAGTGGTCTTGCCAGCAATGACTGCTGCAAAGGACTGGGGTGGGGTCTGCCATTGGTAGCAATTTATGAAAACCACAATAAGAAAGAAGCCATCTTCAGAGTGGTTGTCAGGGGAAGCCCATGTGGGAGCTCCTTAAAGGGCCATCCCAGTGGTCATCCTCTCCTCCCGCAATAACCACACACCTGTACTATGTGTAACTTTGGCAACAGGTTGCAGTCAGCCAGGGTGAGCTCGTTGCCATCCAGAAACTTCCTCTGAGAGACACCTTCATCTTCAGCACTGGTTTCATCCACTTCTTCTGGGAGGGGCGATGTTAAGTAATTGTCTAAAACCTTCAGGGCTTTCAGGAGTCCCTTCTCCAGATCTGTGCAAGAGAAGGAATTGATTAGAACTTCAGGAAAAGATTGACATAGTCTGAAAAGGCCCGTTGGGGGTAGATACTAATGGTGAGTCCAAAATAATAATAGCTAACACTCATTTACTTTTCTATGTGTTATTCTAAGCACTTTACCATTTTATTTTATTTTACTTTATATTATTTTATTTTAGATGGAGTCTTGGTCCGTTGCCCAGGCTGGAGTGCAGTGGCATGATCCCGGCTCACTGCAGCCTCTGCCTCCCAGATTCAAATGATTCTCCTGCCTCAGCCTCCTGAGTAGCTGGGATTACAGGTGCCTGCCACCACACCTGGCTAATTTTTGTATTTTTTTTTAGTAGAGCCCAGTCATGTTGGCCAGGCTGGTCTCCAATTCCTAACCTCAGGTGATCCGCTCACCTCGGCATCCCAAACTGAGCACTTTACATTTTAAAAACTGATTTATATCGCCAGGTGCAGTTGCTCACGCCTGTAATCCCAGAACTTTGGGAGGCCGAGGCAGATGGATCACCTGAGGTCAGGAGTTCAAGACTAGCCTGGCCAACATGGTGAAACCCC